GCTGCAAATGCATCAGCGTCGTTGATTGATGTGTATTGGGGCTGGCCTGAAAAAACGGTTCCCCTCCCGGAAACCCGCCCTCGCGAGTCCACGTCTTGATTCCGGCACATCTGCGATTCAGATGATTTCGTTGAAGGTCGTCGAGGCTCGCTGGATGATTTCTTGCCAAATCTCTGGTTTGAGACCACCCACGTAGCGATCGATTCTTTCGTTGTCGCTGAGGCCGCCAATTTGATCGTAGAGCGACAGGAACGAAGTCGTATTATCTTGGACAAATCCCAATTGACGCCACATCCGAAGCCTTGTACGAGTGTTCTCGCCCATGGATATGTGCTCGAAGCGGCTCTTCAATGCTTCGCCTTACGCTTTCCACACGAGGATCGTGGCCGGTCCAAAGATCGGTTCTGCCGTTGCTGTTGATGAACCTTGCTCCCCATCTACTGCCCGTTGATTCCCTGTCAAGGCTCCTCCTTCCTCCAGATGCATGCACCATTTGTCGAGTGCCGGTCCACTCAGCAGCGACACGACCAAGTTGACACATGAAGCGTTGTCATTAATACTTGCGGCTGTAAATAAGATTTTCATGCCAAACAACCAATCGCTTACTGTAATTGATTTGTCAATCGGGTTGAACGGTGGCGACATGGGTGGTTTGATTTTAATGGCCGCCCGATGCTCGCTGTGGATTTCTTCAACTGCTTCAGGTGTCGCCGACGCCCTCTTTTCGCTCGCAACATCTTCGTATCGGGTAACAATCTGCCCCTGATGCGTTTCACCCCGCGCTTGGCGAAGTGACGAGTTTTCGTTGCGCAGCGTCTGCACTTCGCTTCAAGGCGTCTCGAACTTATCGGCAAGTTGTTGAAGCTGGGCCTGCAGTGTCGTCACTGTAGCCGCCCTAGCTTGCAACTCATCGAACTTCCCTTGAGTCACGTTCCTAACACTAGGACTGGCAGAGGTTTCCGGCGTGTTAGGCACGTTGGAAAATTTACCTGACAGATCTGAGGGTGCACATGCTTCTAGTTGGAGGAGCTTTAACGAGCTCACCTACCAATCGGTGGCCAACCCTCTATTCTGTCGAATCCTCTCCGGATATAAACGGACTACTCTACGGAAGACTAAACGGGCAGGAATTGAGCTTTGATACTAGCTGTTATGAATGAATCAGAGTAATAACAGGTAGTATAATAAAGGAGTCGTGATTCAAGAGTGTTGATACAAATAAGGGCCTAGGCATTTATAGGCACGAACAGAGCTAGCCGAGAACCACGTGAACGAGTTAGGGCGGTTCGGTTGGCAGAACCAACGGAAGCGCCACGCGTCGAGGTTTGGGTTTGCTAAGTGGTTCGGGACCGAAGGAGTTGGCCGTGCCTGGACTTCCGAGAGTCGAGGGCGTACACGCTGTAGTCGAGCGCAGTAAGAAGGGAATTTCCTTAAGAGTAGCGATAAATTGGAGTGTTCCGCTATGGAGTGTTCGGTGGAATAGGTGTAGCGTACTCAGAGTACAGTTCATACCCGCTAATTTTGAAGCGCAGTGAACCATTCATAAGCCACAGCTGACCTGGCATTATCAGCGTTGAAGGGGGTTTTCGAGCTGGATATTCTGGACACCCATTCAGAGCACTGCCACGTCGGACGCATTCCGCAAAACAGCCACCGAATTCGCCGTGCAAGGACGCACCAGTTCAATCCATCCTGTACCTCATAAATGAATTTTATGTTTGTCCACTGTTCTTGAGTGATGCTCCTAGACCAGAAACCAGTCCAGATTAATATACGGTGCCTAATGCATAGAAATCTCAGCTTGCTGTTTCTGTTTTGTGTGCCTTGCCGCATCGCACCTCTGGCTGGTTCAGGGCACACAAGAAACACCCCCTCTGGCATTTCGCGTTGTGTCCTGGGCCTGAGCTATGTTTTTTGCGAGCTCGGACTATTTGGGTCCTCAGAAAATAACCTGTAAAACCAGAGATGAACCGAAATTTGTTCGGACGAATCAGGGTCCGAGGTCAAGCAGGTCTCAGCGCCACCAAATTTTGCGGGGTGGGTTAAATGTACCCACGCCATTACTTCTGTGAGACAATCGGGTTTGGCCTTGCTCCTGCGGCGCCACAGCCGTGGGGAAGAGGGGGGAGAAGGGTACAGACCTGTACCTCAGATACCTTAGAGGGTGGCTCAATCTGTAAGTGATACAGAATGACAGAGCCTTGCCTTCCAGCATGGGGGGCTCCCAAATGTACTAAACTTTGAGAGGTGTGGGGGCGAGATTTGGGGGAGGGAACGAGAGGGGGGGGGGGGGAGGGGGGGGGGGTGGATGGCTGGGGGGTTGGGAGAGGAGTATGTGTAGGTGAGTAGGAGGTGTGTTAAAGGTCCGGATCGCCGTGGACCGGATCAGTACGGGTCCCACGAAATTCCCCCTTGCGTAAGTCCGGGCTGGCCGGGAAAACATCTTTGATTTTCAGTCAGGGCAGGATGGCTACCCTGTTATTTTCAGCCCTAGTTGCGTCGAGCTGGACGCAGAAATCTCCACGAAACCGCTTTCAGGGAGTCAAATAAATGCTGCCGAAAGGGTGTGGTGAGGGGAGGAGGAGCGATAATCTCGTGGGATATTCGTAGTAACACCAGCCTGCCACGGTCGTCACAGCTGTACTGAACAGCTGGCCGCTTCGCAAGTTCCTTCCTGTCTTCAAGCCGTCCTTGGAAGCCTTTCTCCAGGGTGCTCTACAGTTTTGCTACGGAGGACCGAACTGGATCGAATCGGAACCCATGTGCCATAAAATACACCTAGCCCGCGGTATTTTTACACCCAGTATTTTCACAGGAGGTGCCGCCCCCCGGAAGCAGCTCCTAAAGACCAGATATTGATACCTTTGAAAAACAATTTTTACTTGGGTTTCAATACGAAACGTTTACTAATCGATTTATTGTTTCTCAAGTCAGGAAACCCGACGTCAGCTTAGGCAGTGCTCTAAGGTTTTGCCCGCGTGGAGTCTTCCAATCTTAGGCCGTAGGGACAAGGGGGGACTGTCTACGCACTTAGAAATGGTCAGGGTGGAAACAAAAATTGTTTAGCCGCTCAGTTCCAGGGTGTAAATTTACCGCAAGCTAAGTGTACATACCTCCCGGATGTATGTGGTCAGGTCAGCCGAAAGAGGCTGCCCGGACCGGACTGGAGCCCCCTCCTAGATGTCATAGAGGTGCATGCTGCTTTGTGGGGATCACTAGTTCGATACATAAATACACTGGATTCGCATCTTCCGTTTCTAGTCTAGTTGAACCGTGCGGGCGTAATGCGCACACTTATTTCGCGAGTCATCGCCACTAGAGAATGGGCCATAAAGTTGATACGGATGGTTTTGCACAAATTTAAACACAGTGTCGGAATTTCTGACATGCATAAAAGGTAATTGTAGAATACCTCCTCTTGAAATATAGGAGAAATGCATTACGATGCATTACGATGCTGCGCGGTTTTTGTGGAGAATTGAAGAGGGGCGTATTCTCGAAAAAAAAACTTTCCAAGGAAATGTTGGCCGCCTCCATGTTGTAGGTGTCAGAGAAACCTAGGTTAATGGGCCATCGGATAAAAATCCCATTTCTCGTGATAGATGGCGGATGGGCGCGGGTTGAGGGGTGAGCCTGGTTAATTTGCAAGCGTGTGGACCCTTGGTGTAATCGTATAAACCGTACCATAGTTTGTTGTATAAAATAACGGCCAACCGCCATCCCTCTCCCCTCTCCCCCCCCCCCCCCCCCCTCCCTGGCGCCCGACGATACCACTAGCGCTTATCGGACTCGTGGTGGGCCCGACGCTTAGCCTTGAGCCACGGGGATCGTCACGTCAGGCTTCTTGTTCCAGTGCAGAGCACGAGGAACAGGGAAATCGTTGGAACTGAACAAGATATCGTTTCACTGGCCATTAGAGCGTGAATGTTACGCTCCGTTCCTCACTCCTCTGCAAGCCACCATGGTTTCCCGCCTCCGGGAAAACTGCACTGTACAGCATGGCGGAGTGCAGCATGGCGGCGGGAAGTGGATTCCACAGCTAGCCAAAAGCTCGGAGAGAGCCGCAAAACCACATTCCCGTCCGTCGGGGTCTAAGGAGACGGACGGGATTTGGGACTTCGAGTTAGGGGTCGGAGGATGTTGTAACTGCCTTGTACAGCGCTGGTATGGTACACCTACATCGCGACATTTTCACGAACTGGAAATGTTCGAGTCAGATACGCCCAGTTTGGTTTTTTGCTTCTTGAGACCCTCGCTTTAAGGTTTGGGGTGATGGAAGCCCTGAAGGATTGTCCCGTTCTACAAGCAGAATAGGGGAGACTAAAAGAGCACGCCCCTCTTACTGAAACAGTGTGCTGTAATTGTCATCAAACCCCGTGAGAGTTCGCAGAGGCCGGTAATGTTTGATTAATTCATTATTTCATAATTTGCTTGAGAGAACCGCAGGTAGCCATAGCTAACGGGAAAATATACCGTATGTGAAGTTATTAGTATTTGAGATGTCGCAGATTAGGTGTACAGTAACAGCCGAGGCCGCTAGAGTAGAATGTTTCCTCAACTCACGGCAAAGGCGGCTACTGTACAGTACACTTAACCTGCGGTAATTTTACACCCTGAAATCGAGCGGCAGCAGAATTTTTGCTTCCACCCTGACCAATTCTGAGTGCGTAGACAGTACTCCCTTGTTCCTACGACCTAGGCGCGGCAGACTCCACGCGGACAAAAACTTCGAGCACTGCCAAAGCTGACGTCGGGTTTCCTGACTCGAGCAGTAAACGTTTCGTATAGAATCCCTAACAAGAGTATCCTAATCTGGTCTTCAGGAGCTGCTTTCGGGTGGTAAATACCCTCTTGGTGGCACCCCCTGTTAAAATACTGGGTATGAAAACACCGCGGGCTAGGTGTACAACAGCCTTAGCCTAGAACTGACAGCACATTGCGAGCCGATTTTATGCCGCCTGCGCAGGACGACTGAGTCCTCTCCTCACACGAGCGTTCAGATCAGAGTCAGTGCCGAGGGGGGGGAGGGGGAAGGAGGGTGGCTGCCCGTGAACTGCCCAGAGCATTGGCATCAGAAACAGACCCTGGTAGGATATTTAGTGCTGTACATTAGGAGCGGCGCGACATGATGTGCGACATTTATTGCCCCACCCTGGCAGATCGAATCCAAACGAGAGGCCTTCTGTCACGAGCTTGTACCACCACACGTAACGGTGGCGACGCGAGGTGAGGAGGCTCGCATGAGACGGGACGGGACGGGACGGGAGCTCCTCCACCTCCCTACCGCTGGTGGTCTAAGTTTACTACCGTGCGTGCCGCACTTCGACAGTGTTTCCAAACAGCGCAAGTCTAGTAGCGCTAGTAGTAGGCATCAACACTGCTAGTACTGGTACTACTTGTACTATCAGTCCCGTATCCCAGCATCCAGACGACAACCCCAGCACCTCCCACAACAATGATGATAACCGTCAATCCGCCTTCAATTCTTCCCACCGCCGGCGGCGGCGGGTCGGGCGACGAGCAGTCAGATTTCAGCGCGTGGCTGGGCGTCGCGGGGTACGGCGAGGGCGACGTGCGCGAGATAGTCTCCAAGACCCTGCACGGGACGCGCGGCGACTCGCTTTCACAGTCACAGTCACAGTCACAGTCACAGTCACAGTCGGAGAGCGACTTCAGCTCGTGGCTGGGCGCGGCGGGGTACAGCGAGGGCGACGTGCCCGAGATAGTCTCTGAGACGCTGCACGGGTCGCGGCACGACCCGGCGTGCGAGAACTGGGAGGAGGTGGAGCGCCTGTGCGACGCCATGGACCAGTGGGGCCCGCACGAGCGCATCACCATGCTCGATATCGTCCCGTGCGGGCCCGAGGAGGAGGACGTTGGTGACCGCGATGTGGTGTACCTGGTCTCTGGGACTGCGACTAATAGCGGGTACGCGGCGGGAGCAGGAGCGGCGGGAGCTGCCGCAAGCGCGTTGTGTGAGGAAGGGGAGGAGGACGAGACGAAGAGTCGGCTTCGGCTTTCGAGAGCGTCAGGGCCGATTGTTGATAGCCGCTCCAGCACCAGCAGCGCCGTCAGCGCCAGCACCAGCAATTTCACCACCAGCAGCAGCAGGAGCAGCAGTCTCCTACGCAGCAGCAGCTCCCTTAGGAGTAGCAGCCCTCTTGGCAACAGCAGTCGCAGCGAGGCAGGACTGCCGAGGATAGCGAGCTGGGGATCTTTCGTCAAGGCACCCGCTTGTACCACCCATACTATCACCCGCACTTGCAGCAGCGCCGACACTCAACCCACAGCTTTGCGCCACGCGGCAGCCAGCCCGGATCACGCGCAAGCCAGCAGTGGCGGTGGGACCAGCGCGGCGGCGGCGAGCAGGCTGTCGTTCAGCGGGCCGTTGCAACCGGTGCGCAAGCTCACAGGCCTGGGCGGGCGCCGCGGCAGAGGCACTGGCACTGGTGCCAATGGCACCGCGACCGGCAGTACCAGCAGCAGTACTTGTACTAGTCCCATTTCCGCTGCCGCTTCCATTGCTGCAGAGAGCAGCAGGCTCCCTGGCAGGAGCTGCTCCCCCACGCCCCTCTCTCCCCTCTCGCCCCTCTCGCCGTCCCCCCGACTACCTGCGGGAAGACGACCAGTACTCGCCTCAGGTGGTGCTTCAGGCGCTTCAGGGACCCTTGCCGGATCCCCGCTCCAGATGAACCTGTGCCGTGCGGCAACATCGAATCCGGGGGAGCTGGGCGCATTCGGCGTGTCAAGTGCAGCAGACAAGCTGGTTCTTGCCGTGGCGTCCAGTACCAGCAGCACGAGCCTTCCTGCGACCGCTGTCAGCTCCCCTGTCGGCATCTTCCCCAGTCCCAGACTGTTTTCGAGAGGGCTCCTGGCTGCTGCGGCTTCAATCAGCTCCGAGGAATGCGTGCAGCACGGCATGAAACACGGCATGAGAGTCGCCTCAGAAGGAGGTAGCAAAGACGCCGGTCATAGGAAGCTCGCCAGCAGGTGGGTGTCCATGGGGCTAACCGAGAAGAGCGCCAAGATCCGTGTGGATCTCCCCGGTACTGACGGTGGTAGTGGAGGGGAGAGAGGTGGTGCTGTTGGCGACGTTGACACAGCTGTGTCGTACCTAGATGCTGTGGGTGCGACGGTGACCCATGTTGAGCTGGTGTTGGACGAGGGAGGGGAGGAGTGCGCCGCCCTGTTCTTGTCTTGTCAGCCGCCTCTGGTGTTGGTGGGTGATGCTGCAGCAATAGCAGCAACACCAGCACCAGCACCAATAGCAGTGGCACCAGCAGTGACAGCAGCAGCAGCGGCAGTAGCACTAGCAGCAGCAGGGGTGATACCAGCAGTGACGGCAGCAGCAGCGGCAGCAGCAGCAGTGCCACGAGCAGTGACGGCGGCAGCAGCAGCAGTGCCACGAGCAGTGACGGCGGCAGCAGCAGCAGTGCCACGAGCAGTGACAGAGGTAGTAGCGGCAGCAGCACCAGCACCAGCAGTGACGGCAGCAGCAGCAGGACTGGGGATGGATGAGGCTACAAAGCCTGGGGGAGGTGAGAGGGAATATGGCATTGTAGGGGATGCTGCTGCTGCTGCTGCCGCCGCCGACGCCGCCGCCGCTGCTCCTCTGGCCGTTGTGCTGTGCAGGAATCGGTTGGACCAGCGTCAGATTGTTTCTCACCATACTGATCCCTTCCTCTGCTCCTAGCTGAAGCCAGGATGCTGTGGCTGTTCCTTCTCAGTTTGAAGCATGTGCCTGTGCGCTGCATCACATGCCTCTACAGTACAGTTACCTATCCATCAACATCCTTGTGTTATACCTATGAAGTGGACATGTGTTCTCATCTCCTGAAAAACGAGCATGCAATCTTCATGGAGCATATATTTAAAGCGTGTTCCTACACCTCGTAACATATGTGCGCGAAAAAGTTGTACAGACACAAGCTGGTTTAGTTCGGCTCAGAATGCTGCAACAGGAGCCTGTTAAGGAGTTGTACGAACACACGCTCTAAGAACTTCGCTTTCCTACTTCACAAGCACTAAGAGGATGCTGTGCTTATCAGACAGAGAGAAATGACTAGAATAGGAAGATACAGGGCAATATATATCAGAAATTCAAGTGATAGTGATAGAGAGAGAGTACACACAATATAGCTAAGTGTTGTACCCTCTAAGAGGCTACCCTATACAGTCTATACACACATAACAAATAGACATGTTTGACACACCCTCTAGACTGCATAGGGGAAAGTCCTAAACAAACAGCTCAGGGCGGCACTACTAGTCCAACCTCTGAGACAAGGGTCTGAGCGACCAGTCAGAAGGAGTACAGACAAGGCAAGCACAAGAGCAGGGCGGCACTACTAGTCCAGCCACTGGGAGAGGACAAAAGTCCAGTCTGAGTATACATATAAAGGACAGTACAAAGTCAAGGTCCTAGCAAGTGAGAGGCTACAGGAACTAGACCAAGCTGGACACAGTGCCGCTGATGATCTTTAGGCGCAAGCGCCTTCGTAAAGATATCAGCCGTGTTGGCACCTGAGGCCAAGTGTACTACGCGAGCCTGACGTCGCTGCTGTAGCTTACGCAGGAGGAAGTACCGCAGCTGAATGTGCTTCGCTCTGCCCTCGAGTCGAGGCTCCTGACACAGGAGGATCATGGCCCTGTTGTCAGCGAACAGGACCGGGGCAGAGCTAGGCCGCTCACCTAAGTCAGTGAGCAAGAAGGTCAGCCAGCGGAGCTCCTGTGCCGCCATGGCACCGGCGTAGATCTCAGCCTCACAGCTGGACTGTGCAGCAGACGAGGAGCGAGTAGCTCTCCACGAGACGGCACCTGAGCCAAGGCTGAAGCAGTAGCCCTGGGTAGACCGGAGTGCCTCAGCGTCGTCTGCCCACGAAGCGTCTGCGTGTCCAGTAAGGACCACTGGCCTGCGTCCTCCTAGCACTAACCCCATGCCCGATGTACTAGCAAGATAACGCAAAACCCTCTTAGCGGCAGACCAGTGCTGCGGTCGGTGTCTGCCTGTGGCCACAAAGCGAGCCAGGATGCTGAGAGGGTATGCGAGATCTGGGCGAGTGCAAGTCATCAGGTACATGAGGCAACCCACCAGCTCTGCGTAGGGGCCGCTGGGCTCTACCAACTCCTCAGGCACTGGAGCGGAGAGCTTGCGGTCTACAGGCAGAGGGGTGGGCTGTGCAGAGGAGAACTGAAGGCTGAACCTCTGAAGGACCTGGCGCACCAAGTGTGACTGAGTCAGGGTGATGGTGCGCGCAGCTCTGTCCCTGGAGATCTGCAAGCCAAGGTAACGGCGCAGTTCTCCAAGGTCAGTGCAGGTGTGTCTCTTCAGCAGCTCTGCCTTCACGGAGGCCAGCGCGTCCCTGTCTGCTGTGGCAAAGACCAGGTCGTCGACGTAAACGAGGATGTAGAACGGAGTCTGGCCAGCACGAACGAAGAGTGAAGGGTCTGCAGAAGACGGAAAGAACTGCAGGTCAGCAAGCGTAGCACTCAGAGTGTCGTGCCACTCACGGGGAGCCTGGCGCAGGCCGTAGACGGGGCGCCGCAGGAGCCACTGGGTCCCAGGAGGGAAGGTGCCAGTAAAGCCCGGAGGGCGGCGCAGGTAGACCTGCTCGTGTAGGCTGCCCTGAAGGAAGGCAGTGGAGAAGTCGAGGGAGTGAAGCTCGTAGTCACGCTGAGCAGCTAGGTGTAACAGAACCCGAAGAGTAGTCATCTTCGGGGTCGGAGCGAAAGTCTGGAAGAAGTCCACCCCCTCGCGCTGACTGAAGCCTCTAGCCCCATAACGCGCCTTGAAGACAGGCGGCTCTCCAGGAGGGCGCTTCACCTTGAAGAGCCAGCGGCCATCGACTACGTTCACCCCAGGCGGGGGAACTGCGTCGACGAAGGTGCCGGTGGATCTCCAAGATGCCATCTCCTGCTCCATGGCAGCTATCCACTGCGAGGCCCAGGGTCCCGAAGTCGCCTCAGCGTAAGTGCGAGGGGTCGGGATGTCGAAAGCGTCTGGGTCACCCTCAGGGACTAGCAGCATGGAACAGAGATGGGGAGCAGCCTCGGAGAGGAAAGCAAGCTCGAACTGGCGGTCCTCCAGGACGTCACTGCCAAGGGCAGGAGCACCCCCGACAGACTGAGGACAGGCAGGGTCAGAGACCAGAGCGGTGGCGTAGTCAAGGCGGCGGGTAGAGGCGAAGTCAGCGACAGCAGCGACAAGAGCGTCAAGGCACGAGACCGGAACAGACGGGTCGGTAACGAGAGAGGCAAGGACCCGAGGAACGAGAGGACGAGCGGCACGAAGGTAGTCGGACAGCGGGGGGGGCGCGACAACAAGGGAGGACGGAGGAGGCGACGGCAGAAGGGGAGGACGAGACGCGTGGGAACGAAGCAACATAGGGTGGGAGTGCAAGACAAGCGAGGCAGGACGAGCACGGGAGGGACGGTGAGACCAGACGTGGGACGGAGGAGTCGGGTCAGGAGACAGGGGAGGGGACACAGGAGGGGAACGAGGGGGAAGACGGGCCGGGGACGAGTCCGGCGGAGGGAAAACAGGGCCGTAGACAGGAAGAGGAGGAGACGGTCGGGGAGGAACCGACGCAAGGTCGGGGGACGGAAGGCCGAGTAGGCGAAGGGCGGACACCGGTGGGGACTGCTGCTGCGGCGGCACAACGGCGACACCTGGACCGCAAGCTGCTCCTCGGCTACCACCGGCACTCTCCACACCCGCACCCCCAGAGGGACCACCCTCAGGGCGACCGGGACGAGCACCCCCAGAGTCAGCGAACGGGGGCTGCGACGGCGGCGGCGGCGGCGGCGACGGCGACGGCTGCAGCGGCGGCAGGGGCGGCGGAGGAGGGGACTGGGAAGGGGACACCTGGGGAGGGGCGGCCGGCGAGGACTGCACCGGAGGGCCACCAGAGTCAGAAGACTCCTCAACCGGGTCCACGGACGGAAGAGGGGTGACGTGGGAGACACCAGAGGGGGCGGGACGGGGAGGAGGAGGAGGAGGGGCAGGGACTACCGGGGAAGGGGTGACCAGGAACAGGGGGGGGGGTAACCGGGGGACCACGGTGGGGGAAGCGGCGGTAGTAGGAGACGGACTTGTCAAAGGTGACGTCACGAGAGTGAAAGAAGCGGTGAGACGGCGGGTGGTAAAAGTGCCAGTCGGACGCGTCAAGGGGAAAACCGAGGAAGACGCAGGGAAGGGTGCGGGCAGTGAGCTTGTCCGTGCCGGAGGCACGGACGTGAGCAAGGCAGCCCCAGACGTGGAACGCAGACGCGTCACCAGGAGACCCAGTCCACAGACGGGTCGGCGAAACCTGCGGCTGCTGAGGGTGCGGCTACAGGTTAAGCTGGTGAGAAGCGTAGCGCACTGCGAACGGCCACAGAAAATGGGGTGCACCGGCATGGACCATGGAGGTGCGAGCGACCTCCATGACCAAACCGATGCGTCGCTCGGCGACCCCATTCTGCTGTGGGGAGTCCGGTAGGGTGAACGTCTGGGTGATGCCCTCCGCACGACAAAAGCGACCAAGGACACCTGAGGCAAACTCGCCACCACGGTCTGAGTGAAGACGCAAGACAGGGAGACCGCGGTGGACACGCGCAGAGACAAGCTAGGGGATGAGGGCGTTAGGTACGTCGGCCTTGCACTCCAGGGGAAAGACTGTGGTGTAACGAGTGAAGTCGTCGACAAGCACAAGGAAGTAGCGCTCGCGACGCGGCCCAGGGACGGGGGCGGGGCCCCAGACGTCCAGGTGCAGGGTCTGCAGCGGCGCGGCGGTAGGGGGGAACGAGGAGGAGTAAGGGGCACGGCGAAGCCGACCCTCGACACAAGGCGTGCAAGGTGGAGCTGGGGAGGAGGGAAACGCGGGGAGGGAACCTGGGAGACCAAGGACAAGACCGTGCTGGGACATGTGACGCAGACGCGGGAGCGCAGGGTGACCTAGGCGGTGGTGCCACAGGAGGGTCGGGTGAGTGAGGGAGCGACAGGAGCAGGCAGCAGCAACCTGGGTAGACACAGCCACCTGAGGGGGCGCTCCAGCCGGGGGGGGCACGGTGTCCAGAGTGAACAGGCCGGACACCGGGTCCCGGGGGAACGTGGACAGGGGGGCACCAGTGGCGGCCTCGGTACAGACAGCATACCGCTCGTGACCAGGGAACGTAGTGGTGACGCCAAGGTCCTGGAGGCAGCCGACACCAACTAGGTTCCTGGAGAACGAGGGGATATGCAGACCTGTAAGAGAGCCCGAAGGAACCGTCGGACAGGGAAGGGTGGTGGAACTGCGGGCGACTACCGGACCGCCGGAGGGGTCAGCAAGAGAAACGGCAGCAGGAACAGGAAGTGGCGTCAGGGTGGTGGAGTCGCGGAAGAAACACCGAGAGGCGCCAGAGTCCAAGGTGAAGGAAAGCGAAGCCGAGGGGTGTGGCGACGGAATGACGGCAGAAGCACCAAGACTACACAAAGCAGGGGGTCCTACGCCTGACGCAGCAGGGGAGGCTAAGCTAGGCACACCTACACTAGGCAACAGTGAGTAATAAGCGGGAAGCACACTAGAGTCATCAGCATACATCACATGCAGAGCAGAAACAATGGCATCCATGTCCATATCAAAGATCTGAATCTGACGACTAAGCAAACTGTGCCAGTCCGGGAGGTCTGGCGACGGGCCGAAGCGCTGACGAAAGAGGTCGTCCAGGCGACGAAAACAGCGGGGAGTGGAGTGACCGATCTTACCGCAAACGAAGCCGCGGCGAGGACCGGTCTGGATCTGGTACTGACAACGCCCGCCGGCAGAGCCACCACGCGGCACACCACCACGCGCCCGTCCACCGCCAGCGCCGGGCCACCCTGGCAGGAGAACACTCGTCTGCCGCGT